ATGAAGGCTGCTTGTGTGCATTCTGGAAAGGAATTTGTACCAGGTCAGTTATATGTTGCCTGTTCTCGCGTGTCTTCCATGCAAGGATTGTCTATTGTGAATTTCAACGAATACAAGCTGATAAGATCCTCAAGCAAAGTAGAGAACTTTTATGCCAATTGTCATGATGATGCACCTCTACCATCTCTTATGTGCTGTACCCATAAGGCACTCTGCCTGGATGGAATAAATGGACAATTAATTGAAATGGAGCAGTGCACAGATGATTTTCAACTTGATGATCAGGAATTGGAAGAAATTGATAAGATTTGCAACTCATATTTTTCTGATGATCAAAGTGAGCAGCAGAATAGGATAAATCTGGACACCGTGTTAAATGACATTATTTCACAGATGTCTAATGATTTGCCAAAATTAAATGAAGTATCTCCAAATGCCCTGCTGGATCAATTGAAAGAAATGGTAAAGAATACATCAACAACATTAACTGCAAAGATTCTAGATGTCATTGATTTTCTTGAGCACAAAGATCATTTGCCAAATCTCAAAGCATTTGCAAGTATCCAACAGAATCGATTGTATAAAGTGTTACAAGAAAAGTCAAAGAAGAAAAAAAGGATACCACAGCGAAGTTTGACTTTAAAATGCTTCTTTCATTCGAGTTCTCGATATTTAGCCGTGGTGATGCCATGAAAGAATTTGCCTCTATGATGTGTATTCCTGAAAAAGAACTAGCTGTGGAGCACTTCTGGGTAATGACAGAGCTTATTAAGGCAGTCAGATCAGACATCATTGGCCAAATGTACAATTTAAAGTTTGAAAGTGAGGCTGCATCAACACAAGAAGAATGTCTGGGATATGAGCAAAGAAGGGCAAGGCAAAGTAAGGTACGTGGGAGGCTGGGCAATTATTAAACTGATTTATTCTTTCAAGAAGTACATAACTACAAACTGCACCTCCTGCAATGCAAGAGTTAGACAAGAAATGCGTAAGAGATGCAAATGGATTGACATGCTGGAGTCTTTATTTCTTCAAAGTGCCAATGTACATGAGTCTTCTAGCTACAAAGAGACCCTAACAGTGATTGATGTAAGGCAGTTTAGAAATAAGATTGTTGACAAGTACTTCTCTATGGGGGCTGGTCAATATATAAGAGATTTTAGAAGAGATTACAATGTAACAGAAGCTCACAGGAAAAGAGTGCAAGAGAAGAAAATTGTAAAGGAAAGACGAAATGAAAAGGTTAGATCATTATTCATGTTGCCATCTCATATCATCAAATATGTATTACATTGAATTGCTTCATGGCTGATGTTTTCACATTTCTGGTATTGATGGTTTTTGTTTATGTGTTTACAGGTGGCTATTGCAAGCATTAAGAGCGAAAGTCGGAGACGGTCGAGAATCCGAAATCAGTTGGGAAAAATCGAAACTTTTTTTATTTCACCTAAAAAACYCATTAGGGGAGCTGTTTCAGAAAATCACATTTAAAGATCCCGGAGCGCTTTAGTTTTCTAGAAATAGAGTGTAAGAAAATGTAAAAAGGTTTTAATAATTCACAGGGCATCTAGTCGTTTCTACTAATTTTAGGTTGTACTTTTTCGCGTTTTCCAAAATGGTCGAATTTAGTCAATTTTCAGCCTCCAAAATATGTTCCTGGTATGTCGATTTTGGTTTTGAAATTCATATCACAGTAAAGCATATCCTTTCCTTAATCCGTGGAAAAATTTTGGTGCTTGCGAATTAAAATGCCGTTTAATGGCAACATATTTTGTCCGACCATGTTTACATTTTTGATGCTAATTTATGCAGATTGAGTGTCACGCAAGATATTCTGTTGATGCATTTTCTTGAATACAAACAGACAAATGCTTGTTTGCGAGAGTTTATATAACCTTATTTGCAAGAAAATAACTATTTTGTATATCCTGGTTTAAGAAACGTCATCTAGAATGTTGTTTATACTCTATGAACATAATATATTCTTCACGCAATCAATTAGTACAACATTATCATTCAATCTATCAGGTTTATGTCAATTTTTGTTTACACGAACAATGATCTAGTCGTTATCTATAGCCTTTATGCATTTTATAGAGTTAATTGGAAAATGAATCATGTATTATCATGCATGTATTTCAATTTAATATGAAGGTGAAATAAATAACCTATATGATGGACATTTATATAAACTTGTATTCTGTTTTGTAAGACAACTATAGTGTTCAGACCTTCTTTAATGCTTTAATGCCTAGGAATATAATCTAAGCCCTTTTGTTTATTTATTATAACAGCCCTAGCTGCTATAGTAAAACTCTACCAAGTCTACTTCAGTTATCATGTTCGTCGGTGAAGACAAATTTTCGGCACAGGTAGCCCAAGTTCTAATGTATTWTTCGGAAGACGCGAAGACGTCTTTTTATACATGTTTATAGAATGACAAGATTTTCACAGTCTTATCTGGATTATTGATTTCAGTACAACCACCACTACTGAAAATAGACAATAAGACTTAGTGAAGTTACATGTAACTGACAATTTTAGAAGCTTTCCTTGACATTAACATTAGGCCTAATCAAAGTTTTAACTAGTTAAAGTTGAATAATAAGGACCCTCCGACAAGAYCACGCTGTCCTTTGTCTCCGGATACATTTTTATGCGGATACGGCTAGCTTCCACACATGTCCGCTGTCTCCGACGAAAAGTCTCCGTAGACGTGTAGATGTATATATTATTGTATTCGCATAAAAATATCCCCGGAAAAAAGATTTGCTTAAAAAAACTGATTTAAAAAAGTTAGCTTTGACTGCAGCTACAACTTTTAACAACTTCACGTAGAAGTTCAGTGTACGGAGCCTTTTTACGAACAGGACGCTCAGGTACGTCAAGACCAAGGTCTTTGCACATTGTCTGCAGCAAAGGAAGCTTTAACTCATTCAACTTATCGCCATGTACCAAAGCACAGAGGTTGAACTGATCATAGGTAGTAGGATGTTGAAGACTGAGAGATGCARGAATTTCCTGCCTGGAACAAGTAAAGTTCACTTCCTCTTCAACTGCTCTGACATCGTCTTGCCCAGCCAACTTCTTCTTACGAATTGATGCTGACAGACGAGAAAAGTAGAAGCTAATTTGTTGTGGAGACAGAAATTCAGGAACAGTAAAAAGTCGTTCACCACTGGTGTTCCGCGCTCGTCTCATTTCTCKGGCCACATCTTCTGCATTTACTTTCCTCCCTGTTGTTTGGCCTATATCAAATTTGGCATTAAGATAGGCCTTTTGTTGCTCATTGAATCTGTATGACTTCTTACTAGAT